ATGACTTGCGGCTAAGAGTTCCCAAGTAGTTCTTAAGATCTGAAAGATTTACAACTGAAGTGGATGAAAGAGACTCTGTGCACACTGAGAAGAAAATAGACAATTACTAAAATGGACTGACTAACTCCTAAATTCATTGATTTAAACGAAAAGTTTTAAGTTTTATGACTAACTGTATACTAACTGGAAAAGACCTTCCTTTCTTGGGTTTTTAGTTATAGTGTGGATTTTTTCATTTACTGTCTGTACCCCGGGGTTTTTTATTTTTCTTTCCCTTCCCCTTTTTTCTTCCTGTAGTCACGTAGGTGTAACAAAAACTAATAAAACTACCCTACCCTGCCTTCAGGGGATTAAAAAAAAAAGATTCCAATTAATTTAGGAGTTAAACAAGGATGCATTTTAGCACCTTCATTATTCAACCTTTTTATTAATGATCTGGCTCCCTTTTCGAACACCACTGACGGGCATAGCCCCAAACTTGGTGTGTTATATGTCCCTCTCTTGTTATACGCTGATGATGCTGTGCTACTTTCCCTTTCACGTATAGGTATGAAAAGGTTGCTGTATCGTTTTATGGATTACTGTGAGTTAAACTCATTGACTCTAAATCTCCAGAAGTCCAAAATTATTGCTTTTGGGAAATCATGGAAACCGTCTAAGTGGACTGTAAGGGGGTATCATATTGAGCAAGTTAAAACCTTCAGATACCTAGGGGTGCTCTTCCATTGTAACTCTAGATGCGCTGCTCACAAAAAGGAAGTGATGAAATCTATAAATAATGATATGCTTGTGATTACCCATGTTTATTATTCTAAGGGCAACTAGTATGTCCCAGCGGCCCTACATGTTTTTAATAATAAATTATGTGCTAAATTGCTCTATGGGATTCCAGTTTGGATTGGTGCTATTAATAAGGAGATAGAAAACAATCAGTCTACCTTCCTAGGAAAAATTCTAGGCCTTCCTATGTGTGTCTCTTATGCTGCAATGTGTCTTGAAACTAATCAAAGGTTGCTAGAGACTAGAGCGTGGTTAATAACATTTAAATTCTGGTGAAAATTACATTTTAAAACCACTTCTCATTCCAATTGCCTTGTTTCTTTAGTTTTAACAGAGTTTCATCAGTCCTCTTGGCTGACATTTATAGAGAAGAAGATCGCTGTTATAGTGATAAGCTTTGACGAGCTGCTTTCCCTGTCAGAAAAAGATGTTTTTGTCTTAAACAAAGACTCTTGGATACTGAGTTGCAAGAATTATATAGTCGTGCCTCTGGTAGATGTTCTCCCCTGAAATTAGGGATTCGCCCTGTAGGGATAGCAACATATTTTTTCTCCCTCAATAATCCATGTGTTCGTAGAGCTTATATGTTAGCTCATTTAATGTATTGTGCTCCGTAGTATTTCAAGGGAGATTTTCAAAGACTCCTTACACACAGAGGCTATGTGATTGTGGAAGAAAGAAAGTAGAATGTATTGAGCATGTCCCTTTGTATTGTGATTGTTATGCTGACATTCGTGTTAAGTATTTAGATTGGTTGTTAATGGATTTAATAGGCCAATCTGATAATTATAAGTCCTTTTTTCTTCTTTCCTCAAAAATGCTGTGACTATTGAAATAGTGACAACTTCTTTATATCTGGCTTCTAAAAAGCGAGATATGTGTTAACTGTACTGAGTACGCGTTATGTCTTGTATACCTCTTAGTGCATAATGCCAATAAGGGTTGTTGTATTATAAGTGGCCTATAAAACAACATTCCCCTTCCTGAACCTATCTGTCCACTTTTTGCTGAATTGTTAAAAAAGTGGAATGATTGGAAAACAGAAACCACATAAATGTGTCAGTCTCTCAAATCTGGTAACATAATACCGTGAACTTGGAGAACAAAAACACATGAAACCCAATAAGTAAGCACAGGAATTACTGCTACAACACCTCCCCCCCCCCATCATTCCTATTCAAGAGTGATGTGTGGATCTGCTCTCCACTTCAACACCACCAATAAGTAGTTACAACCAACTCATGTTCTTTCTCATCACCTTGCCTCCATCATGAATGAAACCATCCATGTGGTATTATATCAAGGGGTGGGGTATTGGAGATAAGGAGGTAGATTGAATCAACAATGAACCTAGCAGAATTACCAGAGATTCCTTTTTAAGAGTAAGCCTCATTGTGTAGGCAGCCTTTTAGAACACCCCACCCTATCCCCTTGAGGCCAGAGCAAATACTTTAACTTCCAGATCAGGTCAAAATATACCATATCTCCTTCAGGCCTTGTTGACCTGTCACAAATTACACCATACAGATCTGACAAACCACTAGTTAATAGATATCGAGATTAAATTACAACACTGTGACTTAATTAATGTTTGTGTTATTTCTGAAGTTCTTTTCATTTAGAACATGCCAGTTTTTCTTTTTTGGAAAGTCACTTGCAGCTATTCATATTCTGACAAGAGCACAGGATAACTATCAAGTGTTCTCATCCTAACTAATTTGGATACCTTTAACATGCAGCTTTGTCATATGCTGAAAAAGGCAAACACAACTGTAATAGCTTCCCACAGTCTCATCAACAAATACCAGTACACAACTAATGCCAGTTTGTCTGAGAAAGAACTGATTCATCCTCGACATATCAGGAATATTCATGGTTAGAAACAATTTTTTTATATCATGATTAAAATAAGAAAATAAGTCTCAGATTATTTCACATACAGTTATCTTGATCTGTAGGCAAAAATGAGATGAATATCATAGCCCAGAGAATATTTGGCTCAGGAAAGACAACCACAGAGAAGAGGGTAATGCTGAGTGGCAAAGGAGGAGTTTTAAGTGACTAAGAGTTCACAACAGCATATGGCTCTAGGAAACAGGATATAGAACTCAAATGAAAAAAATTAAGGTGGGAGATGTGTATCTAATGTGTTTAGATAAGGGATATAATTTTATTTTATGAAGGCTATGAAGCACTGCATTATGCTGGTATCTCGGTATCAGAGTTCATGGGGATCACTGTACCTGATTGTAGTTCCTTGTAGTCTATCAATTTTTTTATTTAACTCTGCAATAATGCTGTGGAGCTCTGTGATTCGTTCCTCATAGCGAAGCGTCGTCCGCTCTTGTACATCTTCGTGCTCTCTCATTAGGTGAGACTGTTCACACTGAAAACAACATAATAAAGAAGTTCAAAGGAAGAATATGGACATTATTATTGGCTATGTAAAAATTAAATGCACAGCAATGCTTCATGCTGTGTCAGCTCCCCCCTCATAAAACATAATTGCAGGTTTTGACTATGAAACTACAAAAAGGCCTAAAACATGGTTTAGCAGGCAGCTTTCCAGGGTATATGAATTTCATTTAATTGGATGATGTTCAGAACATGAGAGCATACACTGTAATTGGTTTTGTTTTTTGTACTGACTTTGTGCTTATCTCAAAAAATTTCCAAAATACAGTCCCCTCACATTCGGTAGTCTCACACATTACCTTCATTACAAAGGTATTTCTCTTATTTAGCTATTTATACCCTCCCCTTTTCCCCAGTGGAGACCCAAAGTAGCAAACAAATGGTTCTGCCTCCGTCCATCTATATATCTAATAGCCAACATGCTCCCTCTGTGCAGATATCTAAATCTGCAAATCTGGGGCACATGGAGGCTCAACAGAAATTCCTGCACACTTGGGGCACTCCCCAGGTGTGCAGAAAAATCTGACATGTTTTTTAAAAAAATATATGGGGGATACTTAAATCCCCCCGAAAGTAAAACTGATCCCCGTTAGAAGACTCAGGAGCCTAAGGGAAGCCACCACTAAGAATGCTGGGAGGAGCCGTTGGAGCTGCAGGGAGGGTGGGGGAGGAGTTGCCGATGCTGTTGAGGCAGCAAAGAGGCAGCAAAGTGACTGGAAGGCAAAAGACGAAGCCGGAGAGGAGCCAGTAGAGCCGCCAAGGCAGTGAAGCTGGTGGCAGGGGTGGGGGAGGCAAGCAGCAGGCACCATGGCACGGAAGAGACCCATTGGCCAGGCAAGTGGCCAAAGTGGTGAAGTTGCAGGGGAGGGGGGCTGAACAAGCTGCTGCTAATAGAGAGACATAAAGTAAGAAAGGGGTGGGGAGAAAAGACAGAGACACAGAGAAATGGAGGGAGAGAGGAGGAATAAAAGATGATGGAAATAAGACAGCTGCTTCTGCAAGTTCCAGAAGTCAGTGAAAGCAAGGGAGAAAGCAGTTGGGGGGGGGAGGCCTCAGCAAGCCCACCCCAGAGCTGAGAACAGCATTGAGGAAGTCTGAGGGCCCCATCCCGAGCTCCTCCAGGTGAGCCAGTGAGGGAGGGGAGGGGAGGGAAGGTCAGCTGGCCTGCCCAGAACAGCTCCAGGAGAGCTTGCAAGGAAAGTGAGGGGGGAGGGAAGCCTTGGCGGGAGGGGGAAGACACAGAGAAAGATAGAATGCTAGGGAGGGGTGCTGGAAAGAGAGACATTGATGGGTTAAAGGACAGAAAGAGAATGATAGTGACAGAATGAAAGACACAGATTTGGGTGGGGGCAGACAGAGTGATAGGCATGGGAAGAGAGTAAGAAAAAGGATGGCAAGGTGGAGAAAGCATGAGAGACACAGAGTTGGGGCCAAGGGGAGGAAACTAAGAAAAGGTGATAGAGCCAGGTTTATATCCCCATCTTGCTGTGGAAGCTCACTGGGTGATTTTGGGTCTGTCACATGCTTTCAGACTAACCTACCTCATAGGATTGTTGTGTGGATAAAAAGTAGGAGAGAATAATGTAAACTGCTTTCATCCCCACTGTGGAGAAAGACCATAGTTTCCCTTAGCAGAAGGTGCAGGGGGAAAGGAGACGGAAAGCTGAAGACAGAGGGGCAGATAAAGTTAGGTTGGCTGGGGAAGGAGATAGGGATGCCAATTCCAGGTTGGGAAATTCCTTGATATTTGAGGGATGGAGCCTGGGGATGGTCGGGATTGAGGCAGGAGGGACTTCAGACAGATATAATACCATAGACTCCACCCTCCAAAGCAGTCATTTCCTCCAGGGGAACCAATGTTACCAGCCTCCAGGTGAGGGCTGGAGTAGTGGGAGACCAGGAGAGTGACAGGCAGGGAGAGTGATGGGGTGGGGGCAGAAAGGAAGTGACAGGCATGGAGGGGGGAAAGAGAGAGAGTAAGAAAAGGGGTGGCAGGAAGGAGAAGAAGAGGAGAAGAGATTGGATTTATACCCCACCCTTCACTACCCAAAGGTGTCTCAGAGCGGCTTACAAACTCCTTTCCCTTCCCCTCCCCACAACAGACACCCTGTGAGGTAGGTGGAGCTGAGAGAGCTCTGACAGAAACTGCTCTTTTTCAAGAACAGCTCTTATCAGAACTATGGCTTGCCCAAGGTCATCCAGCCAGGTGCAAGTGGAGGAGTGGGGAATCAAACCC